GGAAGAGTATTGGCTGGAACAAACAGAAATTACACGCACACAATAAAACACCAGGACTGAATTGCCATACTCAAGCGATTAAAAATAATAAACACGGTAACTGTAAAGCAGTCAGATATACTGTAGTCTTTACACGTTGTTACATATTTCCACATATATGACAAATATAAATCACGAAATACACAAATTACCTGCAAAAACAAATCCTCACAAGTTGGTAAATATTCTCACACATATAAATCACATAACAAACAATATACCTGCAAAAAAAAACACAACAAAACTACCACAATACACTTACCTGTCGCACACAAATCACGGAAAATTAAAAAAATCCAAACGAGGAATGCGAAAAAAAATATTCCTTCTACTAAGAGACGGCCTTATGGGTTACCCTAGTCTGTCGGTACTGCATGTCATGTAATCCAAAGTGAACGTGTTAAGTCCGCTTCAAGTGTCACCAGTATAAGTATGATTGTAGGTCACTGATCACTGGGGGGGGGGAAGAGACGGTTGTGAAACATATGTCTTGTTACTGTTTGAATTGGTGTATATAACAGACCAGGTTAATCCTACTTAACATTAATCTAACCTAACTCAACCTAACCTAACTTAATCTAACCTATTGTAACTCAACCTAACCTACCTCATCCTAACTTATTTTAACTCAAACTAACCAAACCTAATTCAGCCTAACCTAACCAATCCCAACCTAACCTAACCAAACCTAATTCAGCCTAGCCTAACCTAACCCATCCCAACCTAACCTAACCTAACCTAACCCATCCCAACCTAACCTAACCCATCCCAACCTAACCTAACCTATCCCAACCTAACCTAACCAAACCCAGCCCATCATAAGTTAACTTTAACCAACCTTAATATGACAGGAAAGCAACAATCCCACTTTTAATAAACAATCTTTTAACAATCACCAGTTAAATGTCATACATCAAGTAGGTTAGACTAAGCTGATCATGTGAAGTTTACCCACTCAAGCTTAAACACCTTAATGCCAGGTAGCTTTAGGGTGTTTGAACCATCAGGTGAAATAAACTAGGGTGACTAATCTTCAGGTGACCAGGCTAGGCTAATCTAACCACAACAATACAAGTGTTTCAACGACGTCACAACTATGCGTCATCGTGGTGTCGTAAAATCACAACCGTTGCGCTAATTAAACTCTCAGTGTCTGAATATCTTCGTCTCCATAGTCCGGAAAAAAATAAATAAATAAAACTACTCGCATCCTGAGCTCGGAATGTCAAAAGTCTTTACAACAGATTTTAAATTTTCAGCTACAAACAAACAAACAAACAAACACAGCAACTACAGCAACCTCGTATTAACAAGACGCCAACAACTACATCCACTATCTTTGTTATCAGTTAAGAAGAGATAAAAAAAAAACAACAATTTTAACCTTTTGAAAACCTCCACCTTGTTAGTAGGTCACTCACACACACACCCTTCCTATCTCCTACATTCTCTATCTCCAATCATTTCTTATCTCTATGTCACCAATTCTCGTTCTAAAACATAAACAAGAAAGCTGAAAAAGGTTAATGATGTCACCACTCTCCGACGTGATATAAACATGATATCACCACTCAAGTGTTCTTCCTGTCTGAAGTGATATAAACCATGAAATAACGTCGATGGCATCCTTGCGAGCGTAGTCGTTATGTCGCTAATGCTTCGTCATAGAAACAACGAAACTAGACCACTGATGACGGATTGTGACGCCTAACCTAACCAACACACGATTGTAGACTTTGGTTGGCTTGAGTTAGGTTAGGACACTTAATCAGGGAGGTTAGGTTAGGTGTCATGATTTATTGTATAGTCTCATTGCTTCTATGAGAGAGATCTGGCATATATATGTATTTATGTACGTACAGTCAGTCAGTATGTATGTATGCATGTTCTGTTATCATTTATGGTTTAGTTAAGAGATTTTAATTCAGAAACTAATCACTCACACCTAATTGTCAACAAAAAACAGGAAAAGGAGAGACAGATTTAAGCGACAGAATGTGACAGTATCCCGCCTTTGAGACCACAAATATCACCACATACAAGACCGCTTATTACTGTCCATATACTGTACTGAATCCAACAAGTATCTAGAATGAATCTTAGCAATTGATGCTTATTTTCTGTTATATTTTCACCCAAATACTGGATCACCCACCTGAAGATTAGTCACCCTAGATTATCTCACCTGATGATTTAACACCTTAACACTACTTGATGGGTTAGGTTAGCATTAGGGTGTTTAATCATCAGGTGAGTTAAACTGGGAGGGTTAATCTTCAGGTGATCCAATGCATTAAATTCAACTTGGAGAATTCAAAGTCATTATTGGAGTAAGAAAAAAACATCTTTAAATTTACTGAACACACAACAAGGACCTCGTTACCACTACACCTTCGCTGAATTGACCAAAAAACACCAATGAACCGACTGACTTTGGTAACAACGAACCACTGAGCGACACACAAGTTTGACCCTTAATTCCTATTGAAATTAAAACTGATTAATATCCAATTTTATCAGAAGGAAACTAGTGAACAAGACATACGCACAGTACGGGAAATTTGACAATACTCGGTGTTCCATCATTGCTAAAATAAGACGATATAACGATCGTTTTGGCCAATTCCCAAAACAGTATTTAATGAGGTAACCTAATTCATGAGAGGTAATTGAGATACACTGTACTTTTATTTAACATTGAGAATACATCCATTATCTCCCACTAGTAGTAATAGCTAGCTAGTATCTCTCACCTCCAGGAAGGAATTTACTGAGGAACTCTTGATGTTATGAGAAAGATACAAAGAAAGTTAGTTCTCCTTTTACCAGAATATATCCATTATCTCCCACTAGTAGTAATAGCAAGCTAGTATCTCTCATCTCTCTCTAGGAAGGAATTTAGTAAAGGTTATATGAGAGATATTTAAAGAGACACAAAGTAACATCTCTCTCTCTCTCTCTCATAATTATCTCTAGGTATTATCTCTCACTTCTATATTAATTAAGGATAATTTTAGAGACACACAAGACACCATACACTACACTCGAGAGATATAATCCTCAAAAGTCTCTCTATCTCAACAAAAGGGGGTTTAGAGATACAGAGATAAGGGACACGCCTACTTTCTGGAGATGGGATATTATTTATCTCTCAAACGGAAATTCAACCTAAGAAAATTACCTCTACCTTGGAATACAAAAGAGAAAAATGGAGAGACAGTGAGACATAGTAGATCCCTCCCCCTCCCCAAAGAGATAAATTATTCCCTATCTCTCACACATAACACCACATCCATAGAAATTCTTTTACCCTTAAAATACAAAAAAAAAAAATTAGATAAAAAAAACACAGAGAGAACAACAGTAAGAGAATAATGAGATACCGCCCCGCTCCTCACCTACCAAACATGACACAATACACCCCCCCCCAAAAAAAACCCTAAAACAATTAATAAACCAAAAAACTCACAATAAAACACCAAAAAAAACGGAATAAATCAATCGTATTGTCTCGTTAACCACCGTCTCGTTCTAATTCTCTCCGACACACCTTTCTCAGTCCCCCATTCAGCGAACCCGTTAAGAGACTTCAGAAATTATCAGTAAAACTCAAAAATAATATAAAAATTACTTCATTATTGAGTTATTTAAACATTAATCCGAATCTTTGGTTAAAAATTGGTCTGAGATGCATCCTCTGTCTGTATGGGAGTACTGTATGTCTGTGAGGGTGTATATGTCTGTTTTTATGTCAGTCAGGGAGTATGTCTGTATATCTGTGAGGGCGTATATGTCTGTCTATGTCTGTGAGAGCGTATGTCTGTCTGTATATCTGTGAGAGCGTATGTCTGTATGTCTGTGAGGGGGTATGTCTGGGAGGGTGTACTGTGTCTGTCTGTATGTCTGTGAGGGCGTATGTCTGTCTGTATGTCTGTCTGTACGTCTGTGAGGGCGTATGTCTGTCTGTATGTCTGTGAGGGTGTATATGTCTATGTGTGTCTGGGAGGGTGTACTGTGTCTGTCTGTATGTCTGTGAGGGAATATATGTCTGTCTGTATGTCTGGGAGGGTGTACTGTTGGTCTGTCTGTCTCACTTAAAAAAAAACACAAATTAAACCTAAAACAATAAAAAACACAAGATTATGGTATATTAAACCTTTATATTCTGCATCTGTTAATAAATATCCTGAAATAAACCTGTTTGTCTGTGTCTCAATGTCTGTCTGTTTCTCAGTGTGTCTGTGTGTCTATGAGTAATTCAGTATCTATCTGTGTCTCAGTGTATCTCAGTGTCTGTCTGTGTGTCTCAGTGCCTGTCTGTGTGTCTCAGTGTCTGTCTGTGTGTCTCAGTGTCTGTCTGTCTGTGTGTCTCGGTGTCCGTGTGTCTTTCACCTCTCGAGAAACGCCCCTAAAACACAAAACTAAAATGAAACTACATAATTATTCAGACATTTAAGCCATAATCAGGACCTGCAGTAAAAAAAAATGTCTAAAATCCACCTGTCTGTCTCAATGTCTATCTCACCTCTCGAAATACAAAACAAAAATACTAAGAAATACAATATTACTCAACATTTATCTAGTGTTTCTCAGTATTGGTTAAAAATTATTCATTAATGCACCTGTCTCTGTCACTCACCTGTATATGAAGAATTACATTAAAGTTCATCAATAAAACAAAAAAAAAACATTATTATTCACTACCTTTAAAAAAACACAAATAAACCACATAATAAATAATAATAAATCAACAAATATTTGAACATTATATTTTCATCTGTAGACAAAATTCATCTCAAATACACCTGTCTGTCCGTCTCTCATAACACACGATTAAAACACCAAAAATAGAATAAATAATCAAGGAATTTAATATTATTCTTATTCTCCATCACTAAATTCAAAAAAAAATGTCTCAAATACACCTGTCTCTATGTGTCTCAATGTATTATGTGTCTCACCTCTCTCCGGCGGGGGGAAGGAGTTCAACTGTTCCTCATCACGAGACACTTGCGTAATAATGGACGAGGCATCCATTGAACCATTTGCTCTAAGGTGGTTTATTGTACACCTAGCAAAGGCTCTCAGTCCATCAGAGGGGGGGGGTGGGAAGAGTGAGAGACACACGGGGTTAAAATATAATCTGATGGGAGAGACTTTAAACCACAACCTCACAGAACCAAGATGGCAGCTCAACTTAATCCCCCACTCGCCCCCCCATTTGTTCCAATATTCTTTCACACCCTTTAAATATCACCCAAAATACCCTTTAAATCCCTTGTATATTATCAAAAATATATAAAATTATTTCTAAAACTTAGTTAAATTCTTATTTTGTCATATAAAACCTATAAATGTATTCCTCGGTGGATTTATTATATGTTCTGTTCATTTTAGAGGTAGGAATTAAGTTGTGATTTAAAACTCTTATTTTATCATTAAACCCGTATAAGCTAATTTCTAGATTGGCTTAATATTTTTTTTATTAATTTTCAAGGTAGGAATTCAGTAGAAATGGCGTATTATTTGAAGGATTTTAAATTTGTTGCCATGATTTTTAAAGAGTTCGTTTTCCGGCGAAAGATTCTTAGCCTCATGACTCCCCCACTACTCCCCCCTCTCGATTTTACTATTTTCAAGGACAATATTAGGTTACCATGTTCATCTAACTCCCCTATGAATAACTAGATACACCACCACAAATATTTATTAGTAGGAAATATTATTATTATCCCTCAATGACGATAGAATAAATGAAAATACAAGAAAATTCGTCTTCATCTGGCAATTCCCGCATATTATTGCCACCAGTAGAATTTAAGCCCTTTATATTATTAATAACTACTACACACACCTTCATCAATAACAATATCAATAATTTTAAAGTAATAAAAAGTCCAAAAGTATTGAACAATCAGTGATTTTAAACAAAGTAGAAATTCACTCCGATATGGAAAATTCTGTTCAAAAGTTGTCAATCAGCTTTCATAAACCCGGGATTCCTTCATTCAAACCTAACACAAAAACAAGAAAAATACAACCCAAACACATCTATTTATCCATAATTTAATGTAAAAATAATTATTCAGTCATATATGGCAAATTCTGTTCAAAGTTGCCAATAGGAAAAGTTAATCGCGTTCATATGTAAGTTACTACAGGTATACGAGTATTACTTACAAACTACAACTATTAATACAGTACTACAACTATTACAACAACTACTACAACTATTAATACAGTACTACAACTATTACAACAACTACTACAACTATTAATACAGTACTACAACTATTACAACAACTACTACAACTATTAACACAGTACTACAACTATTACAACAACTACTACAACTATTAAAAAAAAATAGATAAATATTCAGTAAATACCACAAAAATTCATATATACATACATACATACCCTGTACATATGCAGAGAGAAATACATGGATAAACCGATATATGTATGCAGATAGATAAATATATAGAAATAAATAGATATACAGACACATGTATATATTCAGTAAAATCATAATAAAATTACCAATAACAATAATAATAATAATAACAATAATAAATCACTACTGAACAATTACATTACGTAGCTACACAAATCAACATCAATGAACACAAATCACAACTTATACATAACACACGCAGGACACATACTGTACATAACACATACGTAACTCATAACAAGCATAACACATACAACACAACACATAACACATACGTAACTCATAATACATAACAAGCATAACACATACAACACAACACATAACACATACGTAACACATACATAGCACAACACATACCCTGTAACACATAACACAACACAGGCACATACCGTACATTACACATACTGTACATTACACATACTGTACATTACACATACTGTACATTACACATACTGTACATTACACATACTGTACATTACACATACTGTACATTACACATACTGTACATTACACATACTGTACATTACACATACCGTACATTACACATACTGTACATTACACATACTGTACATTACACATACTGTACATTACACATACTGTACATTACACATACTGTACATTACACATACTGTACATTACACATACTGTACATTACACATACTGTACATTACACATACTGTACATTACACATACTGTACATTACACATACTGTACATTACACATACTGTACATTACACATACCGTACATCACACATACTGTACATTACACATACTGTACATTACACATAACACATTACACATAACACATTACACATACTGTACATTACACATACCGTACATTACACATACCGTACATTACACATACTGTACATTACACATACTGTACATTACACATACTGTACATTACACATAACACATTACACATACTGTACATTACACATACTGTACATTATACAACACATAACACATACTGTACACAACACATTACATAAGTGTGGTTGACCTACCAGAGATTAGAGCTGTAACAATAGCATCACCTGAAGATTAGCCAATACTGATTATTACACCTGTTGATTATATACCTTAACGCTACCTGGTGGGTTAGGTTAGGTCAGGTTAGGTTAGGTTAGGTTAGGTCAGGTCAGGTCAGGTCAGGTTAGCATTAGATAAGGATAGAATAAGGTAGGTTAGGTTAGGTTAGGTTAATAATAATAATAATAAAAATAATAATAATAATAATTAATACATAAGAATAATAATGTTCCTAATTATTATTATTATTATTATTATCTGGATGATTCCTAGCTGTCTGTTCTTCAGTGTGTGTCTGTACCAGTGACGTACATATGTGCACATAGTAGGTTAATACGGAAACCCTTCTAGTCTGTGTGAATTGTGGCATGTGAAATAAACAGAAGGGAATGAAAGAAGAATGCAATGCAATCACAAATAAAATATCTAAGTTATGAGGGCCGTTAAATATCATCATTCATCTGGCAACTGAGACCCACGTCATCAACTGCACAACAAGTTATCGTTTCAATGTTTACACCTGGAAAAACAAAACGAAACGGGTTATAAGGAACAATACACAATAAAGTAACATAATTGAGAGATAGTGAGAGAGAGAAAGAGGGAGATAGACAGTGTAAGTATGAGAGAAAGTAAGAGAGAGAGAGAGATAGAGAATCCTTATTTATTGACAACATTGAAAACTAGGTCAGAAGAGCCACTTTCTATTCTAAAAATATCTTTTAGTTACTTTTAAAGATAATGATAAAGATAGTTCGGTTTATCAGGGCAATATATTAGTTTGTGATTATGTGAGAGAGAGAGAGAGAGAGAGAGAGAGAGAGAGAGAATAAACGTGGATCAGGTGGCGGTGGTTATGTGTGTGTGTTTACGTTAGGAAAAAAAATTAACACTGAAATTAGACCTAGGCAATCTATCTATCTATCTATCTATCTATCTATCTATCGGTGAGGGTGGTGGTAGTGGTATCGGGCTGTGTGTGTGGGCGGGCGTTCGCTGACCTTGTACTTGCCGTCACAGCTTCCCTCTCTCCCTCCCCATCCACCACCTCTATACACAGGGGTGACTCATACACTTTGAGGTACACACCACGTAGATGATTTACAAACACTTATCTACACACACTTACACAGCCACTTATCTACTCTACACATACATACACACTTATCTATGCCGCACACTAATCTTCAATACACACACACACACACCTGGTCTTCCTCCCTAAATGCCACACAACGTAAACACCTAGAAAAAGTGCAAAAGAGGGCATGCAAGATTATTCTCTCCTTCCTACTCCACATATCAAGAAGCGCTCAACACACTGACCCTTTCGACTCTCACTGACCATCACCACGGCCTCATCTGCAAATTTGGTAAGAAGCTTCTACACCATCCCCGACACCGGCCCCTACTACCACCTGAGATCCCCTGTCCGAGAATTGCTGTTCGACACCACAACCGCATCCAGCCCATACGTGCACGAACTGATCGCTATAAGAACAGCCCAGTCCCAACCATTGTAAAAATTATCAATAACATGTAATAAATCAGTGTATTCACTCCCAGTAAACACTGCTCCCTACACTGTCACTATGTTGAAATGAACTGTAGTTTGAGCTGATCCCCATCTAAGTTACTATATGTCTTATTTGTGTCACTTATGTCACTTGTATATTATTTGTAATTCGTAACCCATTTCCAAATATGTAACTGTATATTTTCAGCCTTCTGGCTGCCAAGCTCTTTCAATAAACCGTTAATTATTATTATTATTATTACTTATCTAGGCTGCACACACACACACACACACACACACACACACACACACACACATACACTGTACTGGACTTCCGCTCAGTCCAATGTATGAAACTATGTATGTACGTAAATTTGTACACACGTGTTTTATGTCCATTATTATTATTATTATTATTATTATTATTATTACTATTTTATTATGAATATGATGAACCAATATAAATTTGTTAAATAATTTTACCTATCTCTCTCTCTCTCTCTCTCTCTCTCTCTCTCTAGGGCTTCACCCCCTCTATCTATGCGTGTCTGTGGACGAGGATACGCGTAATATGTCAATAAATGAAATGACTTTAGTATTTTCGCCTCGTTAAATTATTCGTGTTTACTACCAAGACACACACACACACATTCTCTTTCACTCTGTCGTATTAAGTATATTACCACAACACGTACACTCTCATTAAAATATCCATCCACCCATCCATTCATTTACCCATCCATCCACCCATCCAGCCCTTTACCCATCCATCCACCCATCCAGCCCTTTACCCATCCATCCACCCATCCAGCCCTTTACCCATCCATCCACCCATCCAGCCCTTTACCCATCCATTCACAAATAAATTTAACCATGTGCCAATTAACAGGATTTGTACACTGCAAGAACATTCACAGATAAAAATGGTCTATAAATTAATGCCGATCGACGAAGACCTGGACCTGTGACCTCCTCTATCACCCGCCATATAAGTAGAGAAAATATACAGTAAATACAGTAATATACAATGAAGGATCCTGTATCACACACCAGTTAAATTCTCATCCCGTTTACCGCCATTTTTACAACTGTACGGTAATTTATATGTAATTATGAACTACTGTGAATTTATGTGGTAATTTTACTGAATATTTATCTATCTATTAATTTAGATCGTGCTGCTATATTCAAGGCAGAGATTTATTTAGTTATCCCATATATCCGTTTTCTATGTAGTGTTTTTTCCTGAGAGAAAACGCGTGAAGATTATATTACAGGGCTAACTTATGTATTTTTATATATTTACTTTATTTATTTAATGGCTGCCCACTAGACGTCTAAAACTACAATAACTACTACTACTACCACTACTATTACTTCTACTTACATCACAACCACTACTACTACCATTACTAATTCTACTTACATCACAACCACTACTACCACCACATTACCACCACCACTATCACCATTCTCTGAAGATTCTATTCATGTCACTCATAAAGGAAACAAATATAACACAAATTATATGGAATGTCTTTTAATTAAACTCAAATAACAAAGAAAAATACGTCTAAGAAAATCTAATCATAATAATCACCTTTAATTAATTATCAACTGTACAACACACATTACAGTACTTAATTGATGTATATTTAATTACAGCAGATGATAATGTTTATATAGTGTAACCCTCGATATAATGGACCTTCATCTCTATATAATTCGTCAACAGGGGTTTCATATCTCACAAACCTTTGATACAATGGACATTCCTCTCCCTACAGTCCATTAAATAGAGGTCTTGCTGTATCGACGAAGCGTAAAACTAAGGCATGGCATTAATCAGGTGATACTGTACTGTGATTGGTCAGTATTGTGATGGTATTAATAACTATCGTGTTGTAAGTTATGGTTAGATAGACAGACTGAGTACAACACACACAATACCTCCTCAAAACACAGCTAATGTACTGTACTGTAATCTCATCCAAGTACAGAACTGACAATACATAAATCTTGTATCTTTCCTAATTGTTACAGTTACATTGACATAATCTACCACAAATTACATCAACATTACAGAAATATCAAGTTAAATTTCAAAATTCTAATTATACACTGTAACTCAAACTAATTTCTGAAGTTAATGTATTAGTTAATGCATCAGGAATACAGGTTAATGAAAACAATTTATATTACAGTTTCAAAAGGTGTTACAACTAATATATTCCTATATAGTAGATGATAATTGAGTCTTGGCATATAAATTAGATTAATATAAACTTTTATCAAAATTTTGGAATATAAATTAGTATTACTATAAACTAACTATATCTATAAAAATTACCTAAAGTTTTGAGTTAGGTTAGGTTAGGTATCATAGGTTAGGTTAGTCGACAGAATTTGGCTTAAGAATTTGAATACCTTAAGAGATGCATTTCAAGATTTAAGACTCAGGTGCTTGCTTAGTAATACATGATGATGCTTGTCGGAAGAGTCGGTTGTCATCCGTCGAATATCAGAGGTGGTTGTCATCCATCGTGGTTCAGAGGTAGTTGTCACCCATCGTAAATCACAGAGGTACTGTACTGATATCGTCATCCGTCGTGTAAGGGAGAGGTTACTGTCATCCACTGTAATTCAGAGGTGGCCGTCATCCATCGAAAATCAGAGGTACAGTACTACAATCTTCATCCATCGTAAATCAGAGAAGACAGGTATTATTATCGTCATCCATCGTACATCGGAGGTAACCGTCACCCACCAAGGCGTAACACCCCCTCTAGTGGATGCTCTCCATCATCTGTCGGGCTTCAGTCAACTCTGCAATATGACAACAAACAGTTCAGTCCGCAAATCATAACATAGTAAAATTTTGTCTCCTGTGTATTTAATATTTAATGTGTACAATCATGAACGTATCTTTCTGTACACGCTTGTTCCGTTGATGTTATGACTGTACTTTGCTTCAACGACCTGAGGTCTTTAATAAAGTAATGTGGTTATTAATTACAGTAGTCTATTAACAACTAATATTTTGAAAGATGGAATGGTGTGTGTGTGTGTATGTGTGTGTGTATGTGTGTGTGTTTGTGTGTGTGTTTTAGGCACCTAGGGGTTAGTTCAGGTTAGGTTACTTTATGTTAGGTGAGGTTAGGTCAGGTCAGGTCAGGTCAGGTTAGAGCCAGAGTTAATCATCAGGTGAAATAATCGTGGGTGTCTAATCTTCAGGTGATCAATTAGTGGCCAAAACATCGACAATATCTAACCTTGAATGAGGGCGTGTAGTTGACTGGGCGTGACGGTGAGGGTGGTGGGCGTAGACGGGCCATTCTGGAGACTGAGTCGGACTATGGGTTTCTGAGTCCCTCCCACAGCTAGACCCATGACACGGCTTGACCAGTTGACGTCACCCCCGGCTGATAGGTTGATAGATATTTAGATAGATAGATAGATAGATATTTAGATAGATAGTTAGATGGATAGATAGATAGATTGATAGATATTTAGATAGATGGCTAGATAGATAGACTGTTAGATATTGAGATAGATAATTATACAGACAATGTAGGTACAGTATACAGTTCAGAATATATATATATTGACAATGCTTTCCATCAGGTAATTAATGATAACCTAAACTAACTTAATCAAACCACACCATTAACAAGATTAACTTAACCAAACCACACCATTAACAAGATTAACTTAACCAAACCACACCATTAACGTGACCATTAACCAACCTTTGAGACTAGTATGACGTAGGTGCTGCAGAAGTTGTTGGTGGTGGTCGCCATAGACCTTGGTGATGGCTGCTGCATGTTCCTTAGGCAGACCCAGTTGTTGCAGCTCAGAGTCCAGCACAGCCGCAGCCACCACAGCCCCTGCGGCACTCTCCAGCACCCACCGTACAGCAGCGACCACAGCCTGCGCCTCCTTCTCCGCTGTGGGGTGAATTGGAATTGAATTGAATTGAATTGAATTGAAACAGTTTATTTAGCCATAAAAACACAGATACAGAGTGGATAATAATAACAATATTAACATGGCTGAACCAGTTGAGAACCTGAGCTCTCTTGTAGGCACCTGATATATACTCTACAGTTATCTCAAGGAAGTATTATGTAACATTTAGTACAATAACATGGTAGTAATAAGAACATGTTACCACTGTTATCACTTCAATATTTATAAAATTTGATTTATCTTTTTTTTATATATATATATTTTTGTATATTTGAGGTATAGATTGGACATGCTAGTTTCTTTTACCTTTTGAATAGATACCATAATGCTGTCACTCTATTTCTCTCTCTTTCTCTCTCTCTCTGTTTCACTCTCTCTTTCACTGTCTCACTCTCTCTTTCACCCTATACTCTATGTCTTACACTATCTCTCACCCTATCTCTCATTCTCTTACTCTAACTCTCTCTCACTCTCTATCTCTCATTCTCTAACTCTCTCTCACTCTCTCTCTCTCTCATCTAGGTCACTACTCACCTAGTTTGGCATCGCTGGACAGCTTGGTGACAACATCGTACTGAAATCACAACAATAAAATCAATAACAAAATACAATAAAAAATTACATAAATCACAAGAGAAATATTGGAACGAGTCATTTGAATATGTAATGAAGACAAGAACTGACCTGACCTAACCTGACCTAAACTAACCTGACCTAACTTAACCTAACCTGACCTACCCTAAATTAATCTATCCAATCTTGATCTAACGTACTTTAATCACCCATCAGGAACCATTAGGGTGTCTAATCTTCAGGTGAAATAAACTAGGGTGTCTAATCTTCAGCTCTGTATTAGTGTGTGTTAATACTCACCGAGAGAGGCTGGCCATAACACCCCTTGGCTACAGCAGCTGCCAGGAGTCGTAGCTTGACTGAACTCTGTAAAATAATGGTAAATATTAGTGGTGGTGGTGGTGGCTGGTAGTTGTGGTGGTGGTCGTGTAGTGGATTTCTCCCCTACAGACGCTGTTTGTCGCTGAGTAGCCGACCCCACCAATTCCCCAGTGTATGCCTCGTGGTCTGGGTCAACCAGCTCCGCCATACATCACGGAGGTCAACTACTAAGCCACGCCTACCCCCCGCTATTTAAGACCTGACCTCGTGGTGACCTCTCTCTTTCTACCTACACCAACCAGCCAGCAACACCTCCTCCTCCTCCGCCTGCCGGGCGGTCCTCGCTCCCGCCGGCGAGCATGACGACCCACAAGCTGTCCTCCTCTGAGCACCCTCACCAACCAGCTCTCTCTACATCACGCTTGTTACCATGCTGCCTTCCCAGCACCAAGCTGCATTGTACATCCAATACAACATGTATACAGAGAGCACATTGTGAGTTTCCTTTCTCCATCCCATCCTGAGTGTGAACCAAACAATCCGTACCCCACAGTAGTAGCTGTGGTGGTTGATGAAATTGATGACGGTGATGATATTATTATTATTATTATTATTATTATTATTATTATTATTATTATTATTATTGTTATTATTATTATTGTTATTATTATTATTATTATTATTATTATTATTATTATTATTATTGTTATTATTATTATTGTTATTATTATTATTATTATTATTATTATTATTATTATTATTATTATTATTATTATTATTATCATTATTATTATTATCATTATTATTATTATTATTATTATTATTATTATTATTATTATTGTTATTATTATTATTATTATTATTATTATTATTATTATTATTATCATTATTATTATTATCATTATTATTATTATTATTATCATTATTATTATTATTATTATTATTATTATTATTATTATTAACTTTAGGTCAGTATTTACCAGTTTGGAGAGCGTAGCTATTTCTGCCAGCAGCCAATCGGGGCAGTCGACGTCCCAGCAAAATCGAAACCTCTGCAAAAGTGACCAATCAGTGACAAGTAATCATTCAACAGCAGCCAATCACTGTTAAGTACACACAAGTCAATAACCAATCACTTTTAAGTTAAGACCGGACAATAGCCAGTGACTGAACAGGATTTACATTATATAAAATACTATTTCTCTCTCTTTCTCTCTACTCCCTCTCCCTCTCTCTCTTTCTCTACTCACCATCTTGTAGAGACGTAGTTCAGTTCACTATTCTGAAACATAAAGAATATATAGTAATTTATATATACATAATAATTTATATATATACATTTATTTATTTATGTATTTTAATATATTTCTTAGGAACATTTAATAAGAAATTGAGGCAGTGTTACAGATTATACAGGTAGGGACACAGGGGGGCCCACAAGACACAGGTAAGGACACAGGGGGGCCCACAAGACACAGGTAAGGACACAGGGGGGCCCACAAGACACAGGTGTACAGGGGGCCCACATACAGGTAAGGACACAGGGCCCCACAAGATACAGGGGTAAAGACACACAAGACACAGGTAGGCGGGGACACTGGGGCCCATAAGACACAGGTTAAGGACACAGGGGCCCACAAGACACAGGAAGGACAGGGGGCCCCACAAGACACAGGTGGGCGCATTAACAGGGGGCCTACAAGACACAGGTAAGGACACAGGGGGGGGGGCCCCACAAGACACAGGTAAGGACACAGGGGGCCCACAAGAGCAGGTGGTGACACAGGGGGCCCACAAGACACAGGTAAGGACACAGGGGCCCACAAGACACAGGTAGGACACACAGGGGGCCCACAAGACACAGATAAGGACACAGGGGGGCCCACACAAGATACAGGTGGTATGCATAAATAGCCCACAAGACACAGGTATGACACAGGGGCCCAAAAAGACACAGGTATGGACACAAGGGGGCCCACAAGACACAGGTAAGGGACACAGGGGGCCCACAAGACAGGTGGGTGACACAGGGGGCCCATACACACAGGTGGCGACAATAGGGGGCCCACAAGACACAGGCGACACAGGGGCCCACAAGACACAGGTGGTAGTGACACAGGGGGCCCACAAGACACAGGTATGACAGGGGGCCCACAAGACACAGGTAAGGACGCAGGGGGCCCACAAGACACATGTAAAGACACAGGGGGGCCCACAAGACACAGGTAAGGACACAGGAACGCTGGAAAGAGGGGTAAAACTCATTAATAGTGTGGTCAGGCCGCGTATCCATCTGGGCAGAGTAAATCAGGTTAGGTGAGGAGGTAATCTGAGGGCCGTTAGCCAGTAAGTGGGTTACTGCCGTGGTGGGTGGCCTTATTCCCGCCTCTGGCCCTTGGCACTAGTACAGTTATAAAGACAATGGTTAAAGCCACTGCTAGTTTTAAGACTGGTTTGGACACTGCTAGTTTTAAGACTGGTTTAGGCACTGCTAGTTCTAAGACCCTAACTATGGCACTGGTCGTACTACAGTTAACCAATCACAGGGTTTAGTGCCGTGGTTGTCCGTGGCACTAATCTTTGGCACTCCTAATACCCTGGCATTAAGTTCTCACACACACACACACACACACACAACTCTTCCTCATACACAAAACTCTCACACACACACACACACAACTCTTCCCCATGCACACAAAATCCTCACACACACACACGCACACACACACACACAAAACTCTTCCCCTCATACACACAAAACTCTCCCCCACACACACACACCCTTCCCCATACACACAAAATCCCCTCACACACACACGCACACACACAACTCTTCCCTCATACACACAAAATGACCCCCTCACACACACACACACACACACACACACACAGTCAGTCGTTCTATTCACTATGTTTTTCAATATGCTTTTACGGTAATACATAAATCGAGAAAGAGGCTGGAGGTCGCGGAGTCTGGACAAAATTGAAATGGACAATAGTGGACTGGACAAAATTGTATTGGGATATGATAACAATGAACATAATCGTATTGGACAAAATTATGATAAACAAAACTGGACTGGACAAAATTGCGTTGGACAATAATCACACTGGACACAATAGTTTTGGACAATATCACACCGAATAAAACTGAACTGGTACAAAATTACACTGATAAAACGGGACTGAATATAATTGCCTAGGTGGTCAAATTGCCACATCACTGGACAAAATTGTATTGGACAAAATTACCCCGAATAAAACTAAACTGGACATAATTACATAATAAAAATTTCCAAAATCACACCCCTGAAAATTGTCCAACTGGCCATAACTCTGGACAAAACTCCCACAAACCATCCACCATTGAACTCACCTAACACATTACCATAACAAACACACACAAGAAATTAAATCAAAATCCATAAAAATTCCGTCAAGTTATAACGGTGACAAGACAGACAGACGGACGGATGGACGGACGCACAGAGGAAGTAGCTAAAGAAAACGAGTCACAAGAAATGGAAGGGGAAACTTTAATAGACAGATTAAAGTTGACAGGTAAGATTGACAGGTTATTCCGTCTTATCGTTAACAGTAAATAAGAAAAAACGCTAGTCTCTCTCTCTCTCTCTTACTTTCTCTCTCTCTCTCTTACTTTCTCTCATTCTATTAAAATACCAATACAGGTAATTCACTTCTCTCTCTCTTTCTCTCTCCGTCAGTGTAGAGAGAGAGAGAGAGAGAGAGAGAGAGAACAAGAAAAAGAGAAAAAAGAGCAAGAAAAAGAGCAAAACAGAGAGAAAAAATACCAAGAAAAAGAAGAGCAAGAGAGAGAGAGAGAGAGAGAGAGAGAGAGAGAGAGAGAGAGAGAGAGAGAGCAAAACCAACCGTACCGTCACAATGGTATTTCAGTTAGATGGGTGTTTACCTCTGCTACAGGAAAAGCTGTATGGCCAGGGTAAGAAAGGCTCCGAGTGGGTGTTGTACGGCGTCTTGAACAATGGTCTCTCTCTATTGACCTGTGACTACTTAACTCAGAGTGGCAAAGGTGACAATATGTGTGTGTGCGTGTGTGTGTGCGTGTGCGTGTGTGTGTGTGTGTGTGTTGACGTCCTCCTGAAATGCAAATAAAACTAGGTTGTCCTGAACTACGAAAACACTAACTAGGTCCTTCCTGAATTAAGAAAACGCCAAATATTACGTCTTTCTGAACAACGAAAACTCCAAGATAATCCTAAACAACGAAAACACCAACAAGTCCCTCCTGAAACACGAAAACATCAACTGTGTCTTCCTGAAATACGAAAAGAAACATCAAAATCGTCTGGAAAATTGAAAAACAAATTAATACCCAGAACATAATCTTTATATAACCATGTTCTTATGTTCTTCTAGTCACACGGAGGGCTGTCACTAGTCACACGTAAGGCTGTCACTAGTCACACGGAGGGCTGTCACTAGTCACACGGAGGGCTGTCACTAGTCACACGGAGGGCTGTCACTAGTCATTATCGTAAGTGCTGCCACTAGTCACACGGAGGGCTGTCATCAGTCATTAATGTAGGGCTGTCACTAGTCACACGGGAGTGGGCTGTCACTAGTCACACGGGAGGGCTGTCACCAGTCACACGTAAGGCTGCTTCAGTCATTATCGAGGGCTGTCATCAGTCACACGTACGGCTGTCACTAGTCACACGGAGGGCTGTCACTAGTCACGTGAGGGCTGTCACTAGTCATATCGTAGGGGCTGTCACTAGTCACACGTAAGGCTGTCACTAGTCACACGGAGGGCTGTCACTAGTCACACGTACGGCTGTCACTAGTCACACGTAGGGCTGTCACTAGTCACACGTAAGGCTGTCACTAGTCACACGTAAGGCTGTCACTAGTCACACGTAAAATTTCGGAGCATATCGACTCCCACCTGCCCAGATAGTTGCTTTAGCTACTGTACACATCATTATAATATTCTCAGATCAAGTTCATTATATTTTATTAAGAGAAAATAAGAAGATATGAACTAATATTTAACAACCAGGTGTAAAGAAATCGTTAGGTTGGGTTGGGTTAGGTTAGGTTTGGTTAGGTTAGGTTTGGTTAGGTTTGGTTAGGTTTGCTAGGTTAGGTTAGGGTTAGGTTGTTAGGTTGTGTAGGTTAGGTTAGTTAGTTTGGTTTGGTTTGGTTTGTTTTAGTTTGTTAGGTTAGGTTTGGTTAGGTTAGGTTTGGTTAGGTTTGGTTAGGTTTTGGTTAGGTTTGGTTTGTTTTGGTTTGGTTGGGAAAGCGACCAAGGAATATTTTGCTATAATATAAACTGGTAATATGTGTTTGTCTGTAAACTGTGATGTATATAGTTAACATTGGTTGTTTACGATTTATATAGTAGTATATATACAGGAATTATGGTATATATTGTCAAATGTATACATGCTGTGTGTAATAGTTTAAACACACACATACAGTACAGACACAAATAGATACATACACAATCACACACACATACATATATATACACATACAACACAACACAACCCTCCCCACACCACCACACCACAACCCCACACACAACACCACACCTCCCACAACACAACCCTCCCCACCACAACCCCACTCACAACACCACACCTCCCACAAAACAACCCTCCCCACACCACCGCAGCACAACCCCACCCACAACACCACACCTCCCACAACACAACCTCCCCACACCACCACACCACAACCCCACACACAACACCACACCTCCCACAACACAACCCTCCCACACCACCGCAGCACAACCCCACTCACAACACCACACCTCCCACAAAACAACCCTCCCCACACCACCGCAGCACAACCCCACTCACAACACCACACCTCCCACAACACAACCCTCCCCACACCACCGCAGCACAACCCCACTCACAACACCACACCTCCCCACAACACAACCCCTCCCACACCACCGCAGCACAACCCCACTCACAACACCACACCTCCCCACAACACAACCCTCCCCACACCACCACACCACAACCCCACACACAACACCACACCCCACAACACAACCCTCCCCACACCGCAGCACAACCCCACTCACAACACCACACCTCCCACAAACAACCCTCCCCACACCACCGCAGCACAACCCCACCACAACACCACACCTCCCACAACACAACCTCCCCACACCACCGCAGCACAACCCCACCACAACACCACACCTCCCCACAACACAACCCTCCCCACACCACCGCAGCACAACCCCACTCACACAACACCACACCTCCCCACAACACAACCCTCCCCACACCACCGCAGCACAACCCCACCACAACACCACACCCTCCAACACAACCCCTCCCACCACCGCAGCAACCCCACCACAACACACACCCCACAACACAACCCCCCACACCACCGCAGCACAACCCCACTCACAACACCACACCTCCCACAACACAACCTCCCCACACCACCGCAGCACAACCCCACCCTCCCACAACACAACCCCACACACCACCACAACCCCACTCACAACACCACACCTCCCACAACACAACCCTCCCCACACCACCTATCACTCACATTAACCTTGGTATAAAATAACCCCCAAACACATATAAACAATATAAATAAAATGAAAACAGTTTAACCCAGCAAACTAGCTACTACAGGGGTGTCCATAAGCCCCGTTAAGAATAAGGGTAATAAATCAGGTGGTGTTGACAAGAGGCAATGAATATATACATAAAGATAATCTCACAAATGTAACCGGTTTTATTTACATTCTGGATTCTCAAAGGTTCCTAAGTTCAATTTTTTAACTGTGAAGTGAGAACGTATCTAACTGACTCACTTAAGCTACCACACAAGATGGATTCTCAAAGGTTCCTAAGTTCAATTTTCCTCCTAACTGGTGATGTGAGAACGTATCTAACTGACTCACTTAAGCTACCACACAAGATGGATTCTAAAGGTTCCTAAGTTCAATTTTCCTCCTAACTGGTGATGTGAGGAATATCTAACTGACTCACTTAAGCTACCACACAAAGATGGATTCTCAAAGGTTCCTAAGTTCAATTTTCCTCCTAACTGGTGATGTGAGAACGTATCTAACTGACTCACTTAAGCTAGGAGAACTAGTTAGGAGAACAGGTAAGAAATGCATGACTTCCCTTACCTGGCCCGGGGCACCAATCACCATCCACCACACACTAATGTCTCTTACCTGTGTTCCTCCCTCGATACTCTCTCGCTCTCATTCTCTCTAACCCTCTCTAATACCGTCGCTCTTTCTCTCTCTCTCTCTCACACACAGATAGACAGACACAGAAAGAATTCACACACACACACACACACACACACACACACACACACACACACACAATCTCCCCACCTAATCCACTGCCTCACACTCCCAATCATCAACACGAGTCAATTGTCAACTCTGGGAAGATTGGCAGTCGTGTGTGTGTGTGTGTGTGTGTGTGTGTGTGTGTGTGTGTCATAATAAAAAAAAGTGTGTATGTGTTTATATGTATGTGTTTGAGTGTGTGTATATATGTGTATCATAATGAAGAAACAGCTATGTGTATGTATGTATGTGTGCGTATGTAAGTATGTATGTGTATAAGTGCGTGTGTGTGTGTATGTGTGTATGTAGGTGTGGGCGTGTCCTCAGGAAAGTCACAGGTGTAGGCGGGCGACACGACGCATGCGCAGTAAGAGGTCGCCTGGTCGTAGGGTATATAAACCAAGGTGCAGGTGATCCACAGCGTCACTTCGAGCTGTCACACGGTCAGAGACGGACCTCCCAGGGACAAGGAACACTCACTACGTCACCACCAAGTCCCCTAACTATCACCACCACCAAGTCCACAAGAAACAGTCCCATTGTTTAGTTTCCAGTCGCTATAATGAGTTCTTGAAGGCCGGCCATCACCACAAAAAAAAGTCCAACGGGGAACTAACATGTGCAGGTAAGTCCAAGTGGTTTACAGATGTCCTACGCCCATCCTATGTCCCAAAAAGTAAATCCTACGTCCATTAAATGTAAAACCTCCAAAAAACGGACAATATGGGGGAGTACAGTCCGTTATATCGAGGGTCCATTAAATGTAAAACCTCCATATAACGGACAATATGGGAGAGTACAGTCCGTTATATCGAGGGTCCATTAAATGTAAAACCTCCATATAACGGACAATATGGAAATACAGTCCGTTATATCGAGGTTATTAATGTACCTCCATATAACGGACAATATCAAGTCTATCGAGGGTCCATTAGATTGATGTCCGCTAGATGGGGTTAAGTAAATTTGAGGTATTTTAGGTAGGATCTTAAAATTTAGGAAGGGTCTTTAAATATTAACTAGGGTCTTTAAATTTAGGAAGGGTCTAGAATATTAGCAGGGTCTTTAAATTTAGGAAGGTCTTTAAATATTAACTAGGGTCTTTAAATTTAGGAAGGTCTTTAAATATGCAAGGGTCTTTACATTTTAGGTATGGTCTTTAAGTTTTAGGAAATGTCTTTAAATTTTAGGTAAGGCTTTAAATTTTAGTGTTTTAGGTGTAGGTAATTAATTGTAAGGTTTTTAGGTAAAGGTCTTGATGCTATAAAGGAATAAATCATTTAAAGGTTACTATTGGGTTAGGTTAAGTTAGATGAGGATAGGCTAGGTTAGATGAGAGTTAGGTTAAGTTAGGTTAGATGAGGCTAGGTTAGGTTAGGTTAGATGAGGCTAGGCTGGGTTGGGTTAGATGAGGCTAAGCTAGGTTAGGTTAGATGAGGCTAGGTTAGGTTAGGTTAGGTTAGATGAGGCTAGGTGAAGTTAGGTTGGGCAATTAGGCTAGGAGGTTAGGTTAGATGAGGCTAGGTTAGAGTTAGGTTAGGTGAGATGAAGCTGGTTAGGTTAGATGAGGCTAGGTTAGGTTGGGTTAGATGAGGCTAGGTTAGGTTAGGTTAGATGAGGCTAGGTTAGGTGAATAAGTAGAATTTTAGGGTTATTTAAAGACTTATAAACATACACCACAAGACAGAAAGAGAGACACACAGTAATCCTGGTGTAATATTGCAGCTTCAGGTAACACAAAACACTTACACTTTTCTACAAAATAAATGAAAGGACAAAAAAATAAAATCTACGGTATTTTCAGAATTTTATCCTCGAGATTTTTTATTTCAAGAATTTAGACGTGTGGGTATTTTTTATGTAAGGACGATGATTTAACCCTTTGAGGACGATGATTTAACCCTTTGAGGACGATGATTTAACCCTGAGGACGATGTGATTTAACCCCTTTGAGGACGATGATTTAACCCCTTGAGGACGATGATTTAACCCTTTGAGGACGATGATTTAACCCCTTGAGGACGATGATTTAACCCCTTGAGGACGATGATTTAACCCCTTGAGGACGATGATTTAACCCCTTGAGGACGATGATTTAACCCCTTGAGGACGATGATTTAACCCCTTGAGGACGATGGTTTAACCCCTTGAGGACGATGATTTAACCCCTTGAGGACGATGATTTAACCCCTTGAGGACGATGATTTAACCCCTTGAGGACGATGATTTAACCCCTTGAGGACGATGATTTAACCCCTTGAGGACGATGATTTAACCCTTTGAGGACGATGATTTAACCCCTTGAGGACGATGATTTAACCCCTTGAGGACGATGATTTAACCCTTTGAGGACGATGATTTAACCCCTTGAGGACGATGATTTAACCCCTTGAGGACGATGATTTAACCCCTTGAGGTCGATGATTTAACCCCTTGAGGACGATGATTTAACCCCTTGAGGACGATGATTTAACCCTTTGAGGACGATGATTTAACCTTTGAGGACGATGATTTAACCCCTTGAGGACGATGATTTAACCCTTGGAGGACGATGATTTAACCTTTGAGGACGATGATTTAATCCTTGAGGACGATGATTTAACCCCTTTGAGGACGAAGATTTAACCCTTTGAGGACGATGATTTAACCCTTTGAGGACGATGACGAACCTCTTTGAGGACGATGATTAACCCTTGAGGACGATGATTTAACCCTTTGAGGATGATGATTTAACCCTTTGAGGACGATGGTTTAACCCCGTGAGGACGATGGTTTAACCCTTTGAGGAAGATGGTTTAACCCTTTGAGGACGATAATTTAACCCTTTGAGGACGATGATTTAACCCTTTGAGGACGATGATTTAACCCTTTGAGGACGATGGTTTAACCCTTTGAGGACGATGGTTTAACCCTTTGAGGACGTTGGTTTCACATCACCAGTTAGGAGGAAAATTGAACTTAGGAACCTTTGAGAATCCATTTTTGTGTGGTAGCTTTAGTGAGTCAGTTAGATACGTTCTCACATCACCATTTGACACAAACATAATCTGTCCAGTGATATTTTGACCAATGAGAAACTGTCCAGCGATTTTCTGACCAATGAGAAACTGTCCAGTGATATTCTGACCAATGAGAAACTGTCCAGGGATATTCTTACCAATGAGAAACTGTCATGAAAAAAAATCGTCCAATAAGAAACTGTCCCGTGAAATTTCGTCCAGTAGGATTATCCCCGTTGACAGGAGGAAGGCGGGGAGATGAGGTGGGGGGAAGGGGAGAGGGGCGGCGAGGGGAGAGGAGAGGAGGGGATATGGTATGGGGGATCAACTGAGAGGGGGTGGAGGAAGGAGTGGAGGGGGAGGGAGGCAAAACAAAAGAGCTTCTTGGTGGTGAGGAGGGACATAATTAAAGTCTCCTTGACGAGTGACTGTCATCTTAAGCTCGGCTTAAGATGGTGGTGATGATGATGATAACTACTACTACCACTATACCATTACTACTCCTACTATTACTACCTTAATATTAAATATCCTAATACATAAGTAGCTACCCTAGCTGTGTTGAGTTAGCAGAGCCGCAGATCTATGCGGCATTCAGTGACTGTTGCCTCATAGTCAATATCTGCAACTGTTGTCGGCTTTGGGGCCGATGCTCTCGTTCCGCTGAGGCAGAGCAAAGCCGACCGAAGGAGAGAGGACAGTCGACATCTCATCCAGGCTGCAACATAACTTCTGGGCTGCTGCTTCTGTTCAGATAACACCTCGGCGAGTCTGGCGTAGAAGCATCTTGCACTTGGTCTCATCCCACCAGAGGTTGTGAACACTAGAGGAGTGAAGCTGCCTTGATCAACGTTCTGAATTCTCTCCCCGTATGCCCTTATCTTGTCGTTCTCGTTCCTCCTGTGTGCAGCATCGAGAGCTAAGTTACGGTGTCATGCGGCCATGGGATAAAAAATCCGGATGTCGAAGAAGGCTCGCTGTCCCCGCGTCTCGAGCACTGACATCAACACAGGCTTCGTTGGATATGTTTGAAGTCCTATGTTGGAAATTCTCACCGTCCAATGGAAGGAGGGTCGGTTCTACTCTGACATCACGACAGATTTCCTTCAACATATTTGCTGTTAGATCCCTTACTTCGTCATGCCTCATGCATATGAAGCCCCCTTTCCTGCACACCATGGCGTGGTCGACGTCAAAGGAAGAGCCGCACACGCATTGGGAGGGCAAACCTTCTACTGGCCTACCGTACCTTAGAGCATTGGCATCTGTAAATTCTTGTTTATTGAGACTGAAACTTCTCCCCCTTATCGGTAACGTTGTTAACCAGTTCGAGGCGCCCACCTCCTGCGCTATAGCAACTTTTTTTTCAAATTCTCTGGTACTTGCAGCAACAGCTGCTGTAACTTAACACTTTGGCAGTGCTGTCGTTCTGTCGTAATGGACCGTCGAATCTTGTTTACTTCGCTGGTATCCACCTCACCTGTTGCCAGCTATCTCCTCTGGATTGGTCAATCCCATTCCTCCCAGTCTCGGTGGTAGCGCAAGGAGTGATCTTTCTGCTGGGGTTAAGTGAGGATGTTTCACTAATTTGGGAATGAAATTGACGCTGGTAGCTTCTTCCAGAGGGTGGAGGAGGGGTCCGGTATGAGGGATAGTGCGCCTCAGGTAGTTCCAGCGATGCTTGACTCCATGGGTGAATGCAGCAAAAGCCGCATGTGGCTCTGTGTTAGCAATATCAGGTATTACTACTACCATTACTACTATTTCTACTACCATTACTACTACTACAACTATTACTACTACTACTACTACTACTACCACTACACACACACACACACACATTACGAACATCTCATCGTCAAAACATTCCATCCCATATATATTCAATCTACGGTATTTTGCGCCTCGTATCTTTATATAAGCGCCAGTGCAAGCAAAGCCCGAGAGAACGTTCGTCTGGCGTAGTTCAACCAAAATACTTTAATAAGAGAACAGTAGGCGATACTAACTGCTCATACTGGCATTCCCAAAAGTAGCACGTTGATCATCTGTTGTTTATTTACAAGTCAGTGAAACAGACGACTATCGCCTAAGGTGTGACGTCACGCCAGTATCAAATAAAAAACCCCGATTTCTACCCAATTACATTTACATCCCAATTAAATACCAAAACACAAAAAAAACTCCAATTACCTCAAAAACGATTATTACAACCGGCCAAATTCGACTTCCAAGGTGAAAAATAATCCTCGTCAAATATGTGAACGAAAACACCGACATTTAGTACATAATTATTGTTCTAGGGTAATAATTATATCCTTATGGAGATGAAATAAATAAAAATAATTAATAATTGGTGGAAACATTGATAGGAAAGGTCTTAGGTGATTATAAAGGCCTGGGGTTGGAAAAGCACCTTAGTTGTTATTAACGAGCGGATGGGTGAGGTCACTGGTATAAAATTTTCCCTTGGGGTATTATTTTATTTTTAGTTAAGGTGGATTAGATGGAGTTAGGGTGGATCAGAAGGAATTAAGGTGGATTAGATGGAGTTAGGGTGGATCAGAAGGAATTAAGGTGGATTAGATGGAGTTAGGGTGGATCAGAAGGAATTAAGGTGAATTAGATGGAGTTAAAGTGGATTGTAATTAATTTTTAAAAGGTTAGATACTTGGTAGTTAAATTAAACTTATGTTAAATTAAGCTGAAATAACCTAACCTAACCGAACTCTGAATGAATTACTCTAACCTAACTTGACCTGACTTGACCTAACGTGACCTGACCTAACCCATTAAGTTCAGGACTTCTAAACTAAATTCTATATATTGTAGCTAAGAGAAACTTATACGAGTCACACACACACACACACACACACACACACACACACACACACACACACACACACACCTCTCACTTTCTTACAGTGTGCACGGAACAAAAGTAAACTCTCTCTCTCTCTCTCTCTCTCTCTCTCTCTCTCTCTCTCAGTGTGGACGGAACAAACAACTCATTTTTCTTAACCTTACTTCATACAAGGAGTCTCCACCAGTTGGTCCACACGTGAGCAAACACCCTCCCCTGTTCTGCCACGTATAGACCACACTACCACCAGCCACACCATGTCACGTCACACCATGGTACGTCACTCAACATCATACCACCACACCATACCATACCATACTACCACATCATAAAACCCATACCACCATACTCTACCACTACCATACCCTACCATGGCACACCACCATACCCCACCACCATAACCACATCACCATAACCACACCATATAACGAGAAAATCTACCATAAGAGCCTTGAAGAATAGCGTTAAGGTAATATGGGATCCTTATTTACATATTGTGGGGAAACTGTTGAATCTCGGTTTGTTTGTTTGTTTGTCGTCTGTTTGCTTGTATGGATTGTTTGTTTGTCTGTTTGTCTGTCTGTTTGTTTGTTTGTTTTTGTTGCTGTAAGTACTATTTATTTATCTGAGTGGAAGGGTGGGAGAGAGGTGGAGAGAGGGAGAGAGGTGGAGAAAGGGAGAGAGAGGGAGAGAGAGGGAGAGAGGTGGAGAGGGGGAGAGAGAGGGAGAGAGGTGAAGGAAGGAAATGGAGAGAGGGAGAGAGAGAGGGAGAGAGGAGGAGAGGAGGAAAGGAGAGAAAGGAGGGAAGGGAGGAAAGGAGGAAGGGAGGGAAGGACGGAGGGAGGGAGATAAAGAAGGAAGATGGGAAGAGAGAGAGAGAGAGAGAGAGAGAGAGAGAGACGCCATTTTCTGTTCATGTAATGTACCGACATCCCGTTTTCTTTCAGGCGAGGTGACGTGATGTGGCTGACGGTCTGTGTCGTTGTTTTCATTGCTGCTACAGTACAGGTAATTAACCCTACTACCTGTGTTTCTCACCCTACTACCTGTGTATCTCTCACCCTACTACCTGTGTATCTCTCACCCCACTACCTGTGTATCTCTCACCCTACTACCTGTGTTTCTCTCACCCCACTACCTGTGTTTCTCTCACCCCACTACCTGTGTATCTCTCACCCTACTACCTGTGTATCTCTCACCCTACTACCTGTGTATCTCTCACCCTACTACCTGTGATCAGTGTAGTACCATTGAGAGAGAGAGAGAGAGAGAGAGAGAGAGAGTCAGCCATAACCCCAGCCATCTTTTCACCCTTCAGAGTAGCGGCCACCAATCACAGGACCTTGACAAACGTCTGGGTCCTGGGTCACCTCCTGCCGCGTCTGAAGGGCAGTCCAGGAGGCTAGGAGGAAGAATCGATGAGGATGAAGAAGGTCAGGAAGCTCAGGGAGGTCAGGGAGGCCAGGAAGACTCACCCCGGGAAGCTAGGTCATTCTGGGCCATGAGAGGAAAGCGTCCATCATCTGAGCTCTTGCATCAACACCACCAAAAACGATCTGGTTCCTCGGGGTGGTCATCTAACGACGATGAAGACGCGTCCGACGGTGAGAGGAGTGTAGCAGGGAGGAGGAGGAGCTTCGGCGGGAGTGGCAGCAGCAGTGGGACCTTCTGGGTGGCACGAGGGAAGAAGGCTATGAGGGAATACCTGCCTCTCTACTGGGGGTCCAATCAGAACATGTGGGGGGAGACGCCCTTCAGGAGGTGGCCGTCTACTGAAGGAGTGGAAGCCTCGTCCTCCCAACAGCAGCACCGACAGCTCCCCCAGCCGTCTACTCGCCTCCAGGTCAACTCGGGCTGGGAATCGAACCAAAGTCTCTGGGGCAAACGCGACGGGGGAGGACCATTCTGGATAGCCAGGGGGAAGCGACAGGAAACTGAAGGTAACGGTGGGCCATTTTGGATCGCTCGGGGCAAAAAGGACATAGATTCTGGGGTCTCCTGGGGCGCTGTGGCACAAGACGACGATGGCCAATGGCAAGACGACGTGACGTACCCCCATAAACGACAAGACGGAGGACCTTTCTGGATTAGTCGTGGCAAGAAGGACACCCCAGCACTGCTTCCTGTAGGTCACCCGTCGCTGTGGGGCAACAGAGGCAGGAAGTCTGAGGACGAGAGGACCTTCTGGGTAGCTCGTGGCAAGAAAGACGCGGTAGACGGGAGGGCGCCATTTTGGATCTCCCGAGGTAAGAAAGAGAACAAGGGAAACGAGAGTGAACTCTTTTGGATCTCCCGAGGTAAGAGAGAAGGCGAGGCTCCTCCATTCTGGGTCTCAAGAGGCAAGAAAGAGGGAGAGGAAACCCACCCCTTCTGGGTCTCAAGAGGCAAGAAAGAGGGAGAGGAAACCCACCCCTTCTGGGTCTCAAGAGGCAAGAAAGAGTCCGAGTGGAGTAAGAGGAAGGGCCCGGGACCACCTACACCCACCTACACACAGCTCCACGCCGACCACATCACAGACCCAGTAATGGCGTACGTCCTCCACACGCTACTAGACCAATACAACGACACACTGACGGACGCAGACGAAGGCGACGACGAATTACACGATGATCCCCACCACTACCAACCACAGCAACATGGTCACAAGGGTAAGAAAGACACAACATATGGCCCTATAGATGACCCATTCGTTAAGGGATTCCTGGCCCTTAGAGGGTGAGCTGTGGCCCCCATCCTCTGTGGCCCCCATCCTCTGTGGCCCCCATCCTCTCAACACGACCAATAATAACAAGGGTGAATAAATACTTTGAGTGAGGGTTGATCATGTCGTTCAGTGTGTGTGTCGTTCTTGTGGGGGAAAACGACTAAATTCTAAGTTGTAGCTTGACGACCCCTTGAAGTGTGTGTGTGTGTCGTAGGAAAAAAACGACTAAATTCTAAGTTGTAGCTTGACGACTCCTACAACTGAGAGTCGTTCTTGAGGGTCAAAAACACGACAACTAATTTCCAAAGTTTTAACTCATGAATCCAAGAACTGTCGTTTTTAAAGCCACAAAGACGACAACAACTTCCCAATATCAACAAGTTGTAGCCAATTTGTCTCTCTCTAGTTCCGGGGAAGCCACAACAACAACAACAACAACAATCTTTTACGATGGTGTTTATTCTAAGTTATAAAAAACCCCAATTAATTTCTAAGTTTTTATTCAACCCTTTAAGTACGATGATTTAAGATATAAACCTTTTTTGAGGACGATGGTTTAACCCCTTGAAGATGAGGGTTTAAGTCATAACCCTTTGAGGATAATGATATAACCCTTTGAGGACGATGATTTAACCCTTTGGAAACGATGGTTTTAAGTTTCAAACATATCCACGAATACATGACAGAACCTAACCTAACCAAACCAACCACAACCAAAACAAACCTAACCAATAAGAAGAGAGCAAAGACGGGAGATAAACACAACAAAGGACCAATCACAGCCCACCATACCCGTGTACTAAGTGGAGTCTAACCAAAGGGTGGAAAACACAATTAAACATTTAAAGGGTAAGGGGGGGGGGGATAGTTGTGACATGTAACCCTACCTATCGTGTGTCGTGAGCTCACAACACAGGTTCCTTTGACTACACGAGGCTGGATATATATGTGTGTGTGTGTGTTCGAGGCACCGTGAGTGTACTGGGAATAAAATATAACAATAAAGTTGTTTTAGTTAATCCTGTGTGGTGATAATTGATGATCATTGGAATAATCGAAATAAAAAAAATAATTGGTGGACAAACAACACGAAATTATAATTGAAATAACAAGAAAATGATAATTCGAATAAGAAAACAAAATTGATAAATTATAATTGGAATAAAACGAAAAATAATGATAATAAAAAAATATTAATAATTGGAATAAAACGAAAAATATTGATAATTAAAAAATATTAATAATAATTGGAATAAAGCGAAAAATAATGATAATAAAAAAATAATTGCAATAACACGAAAAATAACGATTAAAAAAATAATAAATGAAATAAAAAAATATTAATAATAATTGCAATAACAAAAACATAATTGGAACAGAGAAAAATAATTGAAATAACAAAAATAGTAATAAATGGAACACAATGAGAATAATTGGAATAGCACAACAACAATAACGAGGACAACAACAACAATAATAATAATACAGATAAAATGAAAAAAATAGAAAAAATACCAAAAATTATAAATAAACTGAAAGACAATAACAAACCTCATTAAAAAATAATAAAAAATAAAGACAAGAAAAAAATAAAAGGTATCTATTAATTAATTTCCCACAGGTAAAATTTACAGGTATAGAAATTTCATATAATTAAGAGTTGATAAAATCTAATCTGAGTCAAGTTGTCTGTCTGTCTGTGTCTGTCTTTCTGTTTATATGTCCATCTTCTAGTCAACGTGTCAACCTGTGCGAAGACAATACGTAGAAATATCCACACGTACTTGTTCATAGTATCCACACACACTGGAAGAGTTACCCCTAAAAGATGTTATTATTATACCAAGAAATTCCGTTTTCTCTCACAAAGTATTAAAAGAAAACGTGAATATTAAAGGACTAACTCAAACAAAATCCTCAGTGCCCCACAAGCAGGTTAGGTTAGGCTAGGGGACGCGATGTTAAGTAAAGCCAAGATAGGTTAGGTTAGTTTAGGTTGTGGTAAGTAAGGATAGGTAAGGTAAGGCAAGGTACGGTTAGGTTAGGATAGATTAGGTTTGGTTAGGTTAGGTTAATGTGGTTAATCTAAAGGTGAAATAAACAGAGGTGGATACTCTTCATTTGACCTGTAGCCAGACCCAAAAAGAATAAATTACTATAGATAGATAGATAGATAGATAGAGATAGATAAGACAGATGGATAGAAGGAGAGA